AGAAAATTGACTAAGCAGGTCCACGTTTTCGTATAGCTCACATATAACGGTATCTACCTCTATCCGGTATTTTGATGATTTTAGCGACATTTTTAGACCGGAAATGTTTCAAATTTCGTATTTGAAGTTCGGAATTGTTACTACAGCCTATCACAAAAAAATGTCTATGCAGATCCACGATTTCGTATATCCCCCATATAACGTTTTTCCTGGTCCAATTCACATTTTTCGACGGATTGTTTGGAAATTATTCAAGATCCTTGAAAATGGTGGAGGGTATTCAAAGTTCGGCCCGGCCGAACTTATCTGCTTTTTTACTTGTTTAAACATCTTTTAGAGGTGTTCATTTTAATGTTTATAATGGCGTTTAGAAGCTATTTTATTATTCTATTTAGAAGAAAACGATTTTTTTTGCAGGAAATGATAAAAACATCTTTGGTCTTCCAAGATTAAAGGCTCAAGAAGAAGAGAAATTGTCCCCAGCAAATATTTTCTTTATTTTATTTATTTTAAAATAAATCCAATCCAATTTTTTATAAACATTTTCATTAATGAGCTGAACAAAATGGACAATTAATTCCCAGTGTTAATACATTTGCTGGAAAATATGAACATTTAACAAAGCTTTTAATTTTTAATTTTATTATTTTTTTTTTTTTTTGAGCTCTCTCTTTGAGCATGTGTTTACTGGCACGGATATGGTTTGTGGTTTTCTTTTTTATGTTACCCAATTGCGCTTTGTGTATGTGTGTATGTGTGCCTGTGTGTCTCTATGTAATTAACAACAATCCACAGTGCCAACCAACCAACCAAACAACCATCGAACCCAACCATCCAACCCGACCAGCTAACCAACCAAACATCTGCTTCTATTTGCTTTTGATAAAAATTTCATTAAGAAAATTTCATTTAAACTGAATTGTTTTGGGTGTTTTGTGTTGCTGTTGTTATTGTTGTTGCTGCAAATATTTAAATTATAATCCGATGCTCAACAAGGCGTATGATTGATATTAAATGACTGTCATTTATTATGGAAAATGTTGCTATGCATCGGAACATATTTTTATATGCGGGCTTATAATTAATGCCATTATAAAACAATCAGAGATGATTGCGATGTCGGACGAGAGAAGAGAACTGCAAATTAAAGAGAGTTGTGTGGATGGGTGGGTGGGTGTGTGTGTTGGGAAAAGTTTGAGATTTATTAAAACGATTTGGGATTCAGTTAACGATGTGCAACAAAACAGAAATATAAATTAAATGGAAAAGTTTTGGGGACAAGTTGGAAAAAGGAATAAAAAATTAATCACAAAAATATCTAGATATTTAGATTTGATGGAATAATCCTGGTGATTTCTCTATATTTATTTAATATACATAGTTTTCTGCTCTCAGTTTTATGGCTAGATATGTTGTTGAAATTACTTATTCCAGCTCTAAACTTGTGCATGCCAACAATTTTCTTTTGCTCATAGCAAGTCCTTCAAACCCATTAGCCCGCATAAAACCTATCCTCAATATAAACATTCTATAGGTATATCTAAATGTAAACATCAAGAAGAATTTTCATATTGAGACATCAATGCAAAACAAAAAAATTGGCAGCAATTTCCAATATTTCCCCTCAAACTGTTTTATAGGCCATGCAACAAATATTTTCTTTCTTTTTTTTTCAATTTAGTAAAAAAAAGAATACTCTATTCCTTACATTTGGCCAATTGACAATATTGACGTGTGTACTCTAAGTTGTGTTCTTGCTTCCTTTTCTTCTTTTTCTCAGGATATATATATTGTAAATGCAAAATACAATTTCAAATAAAGGTTGCTTTCTTCTTCCAATAGCTAAAAATTCTAAGGCAGCCGTTGAAGCATGAAAAACAAGCCAAATAAAAAATATTCAAATAAATGGAAGCCTAGGTAAGGAAAGAAAATAAAAAAATGGTGTATTTCCTTTGATGAAAAACTTGTGCCAATACCATTCAATGCCGAAATGTAAAATGTAATGCAAATGGCTGGGCGGAAAAGTAACCGATTTAGGGAAATTGTTGGATAAAATGTATTGAATGCCTGATTTATAAAATATTAAGGCAAAAATTGAAGAATGCCACTTTAGTGGAAAATGGGAAGTTTTATTTCAGTACTCCGCAGCTGTAGAGGATATATTTCCGCATATTTATGGGCAAATACTGATCACGTGTCTGGAGTTTAATGTATTTTGTCAAAAATGTAGATGTAACAACTTGTAGCCTCCCACTCATGCAATCTTATCAATATATAAGCGATTTAAAAGACATTAATTAATTGAAAATGTATGAAGTGTCATTTTTTTTTGGCGGACAAATTAAGATTTATTTACACAACTCGGAGGTTCACACCATTCTCGATTGTATTCCTTTTTATTTAAAACATAAATATTTTTATCTATTGGGCTAGAACACACATCTTGTTAGAGTCATATGTAAAGTACAATTTTGACATTTTATTTGAATAATTTTTATATCATACTTTCAGGCGAAAATGTTGAAAACTTAAAAAAGCTATTCTGCAAAGTACATACTATGCAACACTAGGGAATATATTCATAATATGTATACACCTATACCATAGGTATATAAATTTATACCAGACCTATGGAATACTCGAAATCGAATAATGTGTTGGGGGGTATTATACGTTTGATTGGGCCAAAAAGTGTGTAGGACCTCTAAATTATTTTGCTCAATCCTCACGAAATGTTTTATTGTGGCCTGGATAGGGTCAGAATAGAAGCCTATTGTTTTTCGAGTGATTTTTAAGAAGCTCAATTATGTATCCAATATCTTTATAGATTTGTGCATTTCAGATCAAAGGTATTTGAGTAAGGTGAGTATTCTCCGCAAAAAAAATTTTTGAAGGTCCAATTCACATATCAGAATCCTAGCGCTTTAATTTCGTACATTTTTAGAAATTCTGATCTGATTTCTGCTGATCTGTGGTCTCATTATGAAGTCGTCACTCCAAATGATTCTTTTACTAGATTTTTAATAGCTATCAGGGCAATAATAAGGAATTTTTAAATAGATTTTTAAGGAACATCACAACACGAAAATATATCAGACTTATTGCAAGAACGATCAGAGCTGAAATTGTGTATTTTTTGAAAGGATTTCATATTGCCATATTGCTTGAGAGGGTAAATATGCCTCATGCCCTATGTCTCTTTGGACCAAATTCATTTGAGGACATTTAGAGTCGATCTAGAGATGCACGTCCGTCTATCCGTTTTTGTCTGTCAGGCTGATGTGCACGATAGCTCTCGAAGGGAGTAATATCGTAATATTATTATCAAATTTATATCGAGTTTTTTGATGGGCAATATCTTTGCAAATCCTAATATTTTCATCACTGCTAGGTCAGAGTCAACTCCATCCAGTACCTCCCCCACAAAGGGGCAATATTTTGAATATCCATGAAGCTTATAGAACTCGGAATTGACATCCTTAAGACTTGGCACAACTGAATATTTTTATCAACATAAGAACTGTTATAAAGATGGTAGAGAGCGGACCACTACTTCTGGTACCTCCCCCACAAAGGGTCAAAGTTTTGAATAACAAAAACGATCATAAAATCCGAAATTAGCATCCGGTTCTCTTCAAATTACACACATCACCATATTTTTTATTAACCCATAGTCTGGTGTGAATATGGAATATATCGGTCCACTCCTTTTGGTACCTCCGCCACAAAGGGTCAAAATTTTGAACATACATGAAGCTCATAAAACGAGAAATTAACATTTAATTCCAACCAGACTTGGCATCATCACAAGATCTGTTATAAAGATGGTAGAGATCGGACGATTCCTTCTGGTAGATCCCCCTACAAAGGGTCAAAGTTTTGAATAGCCAAAACGATTTTAAAATCCCAAATAAGCATCCGGTTCTCTTCATATTTCACACATGCCATTATTTCTACCAACACAAGATCTGGTGTAAAGGTGGGATATATCGGTCCACTCTTTCTGGTCCCCCCCCTAAGTGTCAAAATTTTGAATATCCATGAAGCGTATAAAACCGAATATCCGCTTTCATTCAGATTTGGTACGTCTCAATATTTCTATCAATACAAGATCTGTTATAAAGATGGTAGAGAGCGGACCACTCCTTCTAGTACCTCTCCCACAAAGGCTCTAAACTTTTGAATAACCAAAACGATCGTAAATTCCGAAATAAACACCCGGTATTCTTCAAATTTCACATATGCTATTATTTTTACAAAGACAAGAACTTATGTGACAACTAAATATATCGGAGCACTTCTTCTGGTACTTCCCTCACAAAGGGTTCAACAGTTTGAAAAACAAAACGCGAGATAAGCATCCATCTACCTTAAATTTCACACATCTAAACATATTTGCTAACGCAAAATCTGTTGGGTAGATAATAGATATCTGCCAATCCTTTAGGTACCTTACCCATAAAAGGTCACATTTCCAATGCTTATATCTGTCATAACTGGGGGTATACCATCTGTTGGCAAAACCGACTGACACAATTTAACTTGTTTTAATAAAATACGACTATCTAAGTCAAAATTATGTATTTTTTAGTAGATTTTTTTAAGGATCGCCTGAGTTATAATCAATGAATATGGAATAGAATTTTATAGAACATTGAAGCTTTAATCGTCAATGTGCCAAAAAAGTTTTTTTGACATTTCTCGGTGATTTACTTAATAGTTATGTATAGTTCTCCCGTCGTTCTCTTTAAACAATTCTACTTTTCACTTCTCCACGAAAATAACTTTTCCTTTCCCGTAAAACAATGCCTCATCACATAATTTGTCTTGTTTTTTATCATTTCTGAATTTTCCTCATTTTAATAATTCATCAAAAGACCGTTTTTTATGTTTTTTTTATTTGTTTATTTATTTTTTTATCTTTTTTTGTTTGTTTATATTTCACATTTTATTCTTGTTTTGCTTCTTATAATTAACATGGATTTTCATTTATTTCAGCATTCTGTTTTTTGTTAATTTATTAAGAGAGAGTTCATTGGAATTTGGTGTAGTTGTTGTTGTTGCTTTTGTAATTACGCATATAATTTAGTTTGTTTGTATTGGGGGCATTTTTGCATTTCATTTTTATTAATTTTTCTTTATTTGGAAAGCTTTGATATGATATAAAGATAGAGAGAGTTAGAGTTGTAGATATATTTTTTTTATAACAACAATTTGTGTTTTCTTTAAGTTTTTTAGTTTGAGTTAAATTTAGCATTTGCTTGGGTTTTGAAAAATTAATGATGGGAAAAAAGGAGAAAAAGTTAATTAGGGTAAGGGGATAGCACCGCATAGTTAATTTAAATTTAAGGTTTAATAAAGGATTTAAGTGGGAGTTTTATTTTATATATATTATAACAAAATTTAAATATATATTTTTCTTTAAACTTAAAAATTATTACATTTATTTTTTGCTTAAATACTTAACATCAAATATAAATATAAATATTTGTTTCTCTTTTTATTTTGTTGTAGTAATTTAATAAATTGGTATCATCTCGGTTTAGTGTTTGTTGTTATTTTGTTGTTTAAAATTTGGTTGGTATTGTGTTGTTGCATCATAACATTTATAAAATTTTTATTTTATATTTCAACAATTTATTTTGTGATTTTTGTTTGGTTGCATTTCAATTATTGTTAAGTTTCATATTTCTTTTGGTTGCGGCAAAATTTTGAAATTTTCTACTAAATTGTTTTCTTTGTTATTTTGTTTTTGTAATTTTTAAGGTAGCTTTCTCTCATTTTTGTTGTTATTGTATTTCAATTGCTTTATCTAAAAGAAGAAGAAGAAAAACGTTTAAGGTCATAAAAAAGGAAGGAGCAAATATTTAAACAGTTGTGATCAAAATAATAGCAGTCACCAAAAAGTTATCATATCTAGGGGCAAAAAGCACTTAACCCTCCTTTATATTCTCTGTAATTCTTACATTTCATTCGACACTATAGGGGAAAAATCCATTATCCTCGCGGAGGTATGCAAGTTAGAGCAATTTTAAATTTCTGCTACCTCAAGGTTTAAGTTCCAAATATTAATTTTTTCCATACCTAAATGTGAGCAACCAACATTATTTTTAGATAAAAATAGCCTTCAGCGGATTATTTCGATAATAAGCTCCATTCAAGCACGATTGGAAATTTGATCAACACACGGTGCGTATGATTGATAAATGTTCATCATATCACTCATACCACATACTGAACACCTTCGATTTTTCACAAACGTACTTTAAGGATAAAAACAATAAAATATATCATTTTATAATGAGAAAAATTGTTAAATTCAATTTTTTGGATATGATTTTAAAAATGTCTAGAGAAATAGGGTTCGAAAATAAAGTGTTTTGAGTGGAGCTTTGCTTTTGCTTTTTGTTGAGAACGGTCCGTGTTAACCCATTTAAATAATTGTCTCTTTGATTTCCCTTCTTCTTTTATTTTAATTTTTTCACTTTTTCTATTCTCCTGCTATTATTTTGTACACAACTGTGTGGGAATTACAAAGCATGTTTTTGTGACTTCTTGTTATCAATTAGCCTTAAATATTTTATTGACCCTTAATTGGTTTTATATTTAGCTTAAAACTTGTTTAGTTTGGCATTGGTATGTGGTAGTTTTCAATAGTTTTTTAAGCTTTAATATTCAAGTTCAATAGAAAAGCTTTAATTTTTGAGACAAATTTGTTTGGGAAATAAAATAAATTTTATTATTTTTTTAATGTAGGTTTGGTTTCACATTTCCAATTTGTGTTATATTTCCTCAGTTTTCAATATTTATTTAGTTAATAGAAAAAATACACTTAACTACTTGGGAAGGGGGACAAGAGGGGGAATTATACAATATGTATTTTTTAAAGGATTTTTGTTACAATTTTTACCCAAAAACTGGAAAATTCAGTAGATATTTTTGAATATTTTTTTTTAATATATAAAATTATTCAATTAACATTTTTCCTTGGAAAAAAAGTATTGAATTTAAGAAATTTTGCTTATTCCCCTTCCTTGAAAAAAAATGTCAGATAATCAACATAATCATACGCCCCAACGCACTCCCAACCAGTAGAGAAAGTCCTTTAGTCGGGCGGGGCCTACTTTATGATACCCTACCCTTAATGTGAATTTTCCAGAATTAAATCATTCCAACTATGATTATAGTTATAATTTAAAAGGTATGAGAGGAATATCCTCCTCTGAATCGATTTCTACTAAAATTTCCGAGTCATTTGGGCCTTCTAAAATTGGGCTTGTGTTACCCATTTGGTGCACATTTAACTTGAAATCGGTTGAAGATATATATGGAAGCTATATCCAAATCTGAAGCGATCTCGATAAAATTCAGCAAGGGTATTTCTGAGTTGTATTTGATATACTTCGACGAATATCTTTACTACGGAGTGCATATTGCGGCTGTGCCGGACGAATTCAACAAATCGGATAAAAAATATATATAGGAGCTATGGCAATATCTGAACCGATTTTCACTAAATTTGATATACTTGTTTCCAGAGTCAGTTTGGTCGTGATAGCCAAATTCCATGCCATTGGGTCCAATGTTACTCCTTTGGTGCACAATAAAAGCCAAATCGGACGAAGATATTTATGGGAGCTATATCTAAATTTTGTTCGATTATCTCCAATTTAAATAGAATTTATCCTTGGGTTAAACAAATTATTTGTGCAAAATTTCATCTGGATCGGGCAATAAATGCGACCTGTACTATGTTTACAAAAATACATGGACGGACGGACGGACATGCACAAATCGATTGATCATCAAAAGGAACTATGGGTCTATCTCGTTTTCTTTTGCCTGTTACAAACAAAAGGCACAAAGACCTAATATCCTGACCACCTTGTGGTGTAGGGTAAAAAATTTAAGCAATCATACGCTACCCAGTACCCATTGAAATACCTGGGAAATAATAATTTTTAAATTGGAATTTATCTACTGATTTTCCCCTGAAATTCCTGAAAAGTCATTAAATTTCCTCTCTCCCCCCCCTCGAAAAATTCATCATATTATTTATTATAAAAAATTATCTAAAAAAAATTAAACAACAAATATGTATGTATATATAACTATTGACTATTAAACATAATAAAATCGTTGATTTTTCCATTAATTCGTTTGTGTTGCTTTGGATTTATTTTTGTTTTTTTATTTCAATTCTTACAATTAATAAAAAAATGGCAAATTCCTCATAAATATTTCAAAATTATATTATTTTAATTTTTTATATTTATTATATATTTTAATACATACAAATGTATATATTGAAAATATTTGAGTTTGACCAATTTGGGGGTCTGTTTATTTAGTAAAAAATGTAATTTTTAATTTTTGAAATTTTATTTAATTTTAACGAAATTAAAAAAAAATTAAAAATAAAAATTAAATTTTTTTTTGACGTAGATAAACAGATCCTTCTTCCATTTTATTTATATTAAAAAATAAAAATAAATTATTATATAATAATATGTTTTTTTAATTCTAAAAAATTCCCAAATAAACATCCCTTTTTTAATTTCATTTATTATTATTTTTTATTTTTTTTTATATATTCCTTACCTAAATTTTGTTTTTATTAAAGTATTTGAGTATATTGTTGTTTTTGTTTTTTGGTATTTTTTCAAATTCTTGCCAAAAATGACTTTAATCGCCACCAAAGTAAAAGCGAACAAATCCAAAGAAAAAAGTTTTGTATTCCAATCATGCTTCAGTAATCATGAATTTCCTTATCCTGATTAAAAAAGGATGTTGTGTTTTTGTTTTTTGTTTTCTAAAGGGCTTTACTGTTCATCCTCTGGTGGCATCTTGGCCAAGGTCAGCAAAATCATGGTTAATTCTTTGCGTGAGATTTTGCCATCCTTGTCATAGCCCACACCACGTAAAATGGTCTCTTCGAAGGCCTTCAGATCCTGGGCATCATAATCATCCTGGGGGGGAGGGAAAAGGAAAACAAGTAAACATAAATTGAAATTGAAATCAGCAAGAAAATGAAATGAATTAGTCTCAGCCAAAAGAGAGAGATAATAATAATGAAATCATTCAATCAAAGAAATAATTTCATGCTTAAATAAACATAATTTGTATTTCCTCTTCCTTCCTCTGCGCTCTTCGCTCTTTTTTTGCTTTGCTTAAATGGCTTACAATAAAGTCAAGGATATTACCTTTTTCACCAATTCCAATAAATCCTTAAGAAATCCTTTGAGTTCTTCATTTTCAATCGAACCGCTGCCATCCTGGTAAAAAGGTAATTGTTAAAGAAATGAAAAAAGGAGGTGAAGAAGATAATTGTTAAATGTGAAAGGAATTTGCATTTGCTGAGATGTCGAGATCATTTGCAAGGGATAATACGGGTATATTTCGCTAGATAATAAAATACAAGAGCTGAAGCTATAAAAAACGTATTTATAATATTTTTCAATTGTGATGACAAAAATTAAATATCAGCATATGAAGACCACAATATTGGAAGAAGGCTAGGCAGTCTCAAAATATTGAAACCCTGCTGAAAATTTGGGACCATATTCAATGATTCAAATAGTTTCAAATTGATACAAATACATACGATTAATTCGAATATGGCCCCAAAATATTTATATTTAATATTATATTTATTTTAAAAATTTAAAAAAGTTTCCATATTTAAAAAGTCTCAGGAAAATCGCAATGGAAACTTTAAAAACTAGGATCGAAACCAGAAAAATATTTTGAGTTATAAAAAAGCATGTTTTTATGGTTCTCATAAAGGTGATTGGAAACTGTGATTAATAACTCAAAACTTGGCTGTGACCCACTGAGACTTGACAATGCTTCAATTACTCTTCAAAAACGTTAAAATCTTTAAATCCCCAGGTAATGAAGGAAGGTTATGAAGGCGCTAATGTTTGCATCAAGAGAGACAGAGGCCTGCAAAAAACTTAAAAATTCCCGACCATAGCTTTCTTATGAAGACCTCAATTTCTTGCTTTGATATGACTAGCACTTATTATTGAGAAGACGGCTTGCCTACTATGGGAATATGTTATTGGTCCTTCATGAAAAATATATTTAAATTTACCCTTTTTTTAAATTATATCTGATTCAAATTATTATTTTTTTTTTCTAAATTTCCATAATCATCTCAGGTCTCTGGTCGAGAAAAATATTTAGATAAAGCAAGTTGTGAAGAATCGCTGACCTGTTTCGCAAGTTATGACAGATAAAAGCATTGAAAATTGTGGCCTTTCGTTGGTGAGGTTCCAGAAGGGATTCGCAGATATATATAATCTCCACAAAAGAATTCCAAATTCCATAATTCAGATTTCATATTTTCAAAATGTTGATCCCTCTGTGGGGGAGGTACCGGAAGAAATGATGGAAATATTGATATGTACCACGTCTAAATGGAATGAATATTATTTTCGTGTTTTATGAGCTTCATGGGCATTCTAAGTTTTGACTCTTTGTGGGGGAGATACCAGAAGGAGTAGTCCCTTTTATCCGTTAAACCACAAATATTGAGTTGTGTAAAATTTCAAGACAATCTGACTCTTTTTTCCATAATTTATATGAGTTATGATTATTTAAAATGTTGACCCTTTGTGCGGGAGGAACTTGATGGAGTGGACCAATATTGTCCATTTTCGCACCTGACCAAGCACTGATGTAAATATTAGGATTTGCCAAGTTGAAGCAAAATCAGATTATCGTTTCCATTTCTGTGCAAAAAATATATTTTTTTAAAAATTTCGACCTTTTGTGGGGAAGGTACCAGAAGAAGTGGAACCATATTGCCCATCTTCGAAATCGATCTAAGTTTGACAAAAATTTTACCAAGTCTGGACCAAATCGGATACCCTCTTCGAGGGTTATTGTGCGCACCAGCCAGACAAACGGACGGACATCGCCTCCAAATGTCCTGAAACGGATTTGTTATTTCGATTAGGCACGTTTTGGTCGTATACCCTCCTTAGCCATATGGCTGAGTGTATAAAAATCGGCGTAGAACATCTTATTAGAGTCACATGTTAATTTTATTTTACATTTTTATTTTAAAGATTTTACATTTTAAAAATTTTCACAGCATACTTTTAGGCGCATCCAACAATTTTGTAAATCTTTACAGAATTTCTACAAAATCCCAAAATAAACATATTTATTTATACCATATATGAAACCTTTTGTTTTTAGGTTAAAGAGCGCCTAAAATTATGCTACAAATATGCAAAAGATAAATGTGAAAAAGGTAACTTTATATATCTTTAAGACCACAAGCCCTTCGTAGTAGCAGACGGAATTCGTGATACTGAAAAAGGGCCTTGCTTGCTTACCTTATATTTTTGACCCAACATTGGATGAAGGCTTTCCAAAATTTTATGGGAGATAGTGTTACTATTGCCGTAACATAAATATAAAATAATGACCAATTTGCACATTATATTAAAGCCATATGTAAGACGACATTTTTAAATTGTATCCGTTGAATTTTTATAGCATAGTTTTAGGTGCTATATTTTAAGTGTCAAATAAACGTTTTATATAATATATCAATTTATACTATAAAGCATTTTTAGTTAAAAAAAATGTGTGGAGTGCCTAAAAGTAGGCTATAAATATATGAAAATGAAAGGCACGTAACATATTTATCTCTGTTTAAAAAACTTGAGCCCGGCCCTTCTCAAAAATTGTGACTTTTATTATTTGTATATTTTAAATGGAAATATTCATTGCTTGCTAATTAGGCTTCCCCTAAATGATTTCGAAAAACATTTCCGGTCTGGAAAGACCAGAACCTATTGATTTTTTAATAAAATATCAAATATTATTTTTTTTTAACACTCCTTCAAAATTATGGCTGTTTCTCTACTTTTTGTTTAAACCTTTAAAATATTAAAAAAAGAAACCAACTTTCTTTGGAGTTGTTGAAAACAAAGTTGTGCGGATATTCACTTGAAAGATTTGTTTTTTCTCTGTTTCCTATTTGTAACTTCCGCTGGAGAAAAACAAATCTGATTTGATATTGCATTGTTGTTGGAAGTGTAATCGAACAGAAGAAAAAAACATATTCCAAGAACTTTGACTTACTCTGTCATAAAGTGAGAAAACTTTTTCAATATCCTCCTTTGTCAACCTGGCTGCACCCTGTGGAAGAAAGAGAGAAATACCAGAAACTGTAAGTGAAAATTGCAAAAACTATTTTTTTTTCTTTTTGAAAATAACGAAAAAACAAAGTAACAAATTATAAATTATAGAAGAAAAATACTTCTTACATAACTACTTAGGGATATATGTGGGGGCACAGAGATAGGGTAGTGGGTAAGTATAGGTACAACTTAGTTTACACAACTTTCTAATATTACAACAAAGAAAAATTATTGAAAAATAATGTCAACGCATTCCATAACACACACAAATCATACTTCTATATACATCAATACATTCACATGTACCTACATCTATGTGATTCTGTTCTACAATTGTAATGAAGCCATTGCCAGATAAGAGTAATAACGAAGGAGAATTTATAGTTTGATGCTGATGGTTGAACTGATGCTGCTCGGTTTCCTGTTTTACAATTAAGTTCCATTTATAATTTATTAATACATCTACAACAGAACTTTACGTCGTTGTCTCTGTATGTGTGTGTGTGTGTGAGTGGGAGGAGTTCATGGTGTTGCCACGATACAAGACATGTCTTCTTTTACTAACCTTGAACTTTCAGCATTGAAGTGAAACCTCAACACCGAAAAAATATCGAAACAGAGTAGAAAACCTTGCTGCTGTTGCTGATGTTTCTCGGTTTTACCTTCAAACAACGAAATTTTATTTTTGCAGATTCGTATTTTATCCACACACATATTGTGGCAGCCAACGTTATCGGTCTCGTATATATCTGTGTGTGTATGCATGTAAGCGACATGTATTAAGATTATCTTGTGTCATACCTGCATGCCCACAGCACTTACAACTACCAAAAAAACTTCCCTCTCTCTCTCCCTCTCTCTCTCCCTCTCTTTCTACACGTTAAACTTTGTTTTGGGTTTTATTATTATTCCTTGTCGTTTATTTTTGTGGAAATAATTTATTTTCATTTGACACTTTAAGCATTACGTGTTCCATTTTCCATTGAAAAACAAAGCAGAGAGAATGTAGAAGCAAACAGAACTCCAAAAAGTTCATTTGTATCGTTCCGTAGCAAAACGTGGAAAAGACATATGAAATCTAAAAATCCCCAAAAAGTGTGAGTGCAGCCTAGGGCGAGGATATTGTAATACAGGCACACACACACATATTTACATGAGTGTATATGAAAATACTTTGTATAAACACTCATATATGTCGAAAGCCCTACAAAACACGCACAAGGTTGAATTTGAATAATGCCAAGCCATTACCACAATAGCAGCATTTGCATTAAACTCTCTTCGGTCGAATGTTGGGTGGATGGTTTTGTGTCGTTATTGGGAGACAGCATGGACAACTATTGAGGTATATATATTTGATATGAAATTTAATTCAGCTGGACTTAAATGTGGACAAACATATCCTTATGATAATGGGTCCGTGGAGAAGAACTAATACCCGGTACTTTATTCCTTAAGGCCAAAATGAGTGGTTTCCAAAATTGTTCTTTGGATTTCTCAGTACAGGGTTTAGATAGTTGACAGAGATTATTGGAATTTATTTTGAAAAGTTTTATTTAAGGCATTATTAAAGTAAAGTTATTGATTTTTGATATTTTAAAGGATCGATACACATAGCACATTTTATAAGGCTATTTATGATATTTTGAAAGCATACTTTTAAGAAGTTAAAAGTATCAATCGATTTTGCCGACAGATGTATACCACCAGCCAATGTTCGATTATTGAAATATATTTTGACTTCTGTCAAGATTATTCAAACTGTCGACCTTCTGTCGAGAAGGTTCCGAAGGAATGAACCAATGTTGCCCCTTTTCGTATCGACCTAAAAAAAATACGATGTGAATATTGCGACGTGCCAGGTTTTGACTCGACACGTATATCGACTACCTTCTTCACTTTATTTGAAATATGTGATAATTTTTAGAATATTTTGAAATATGTGTAAGGATCCAGATATAGTGGACCGAAGTATTCCATTTTCGTACTTCATCTAATACAGATAAAAATATTGGTAGGGGCAAAATTACAAAAAAACGAACATTTATATCCAATTTTATGCGAAATCATAAATTTCGTATTTATCTCAGGTTTCTGGTTGAGATAAATATTTATATATAGGAAGTTGAAAAGAATCGATGGCTTGTTTCTCAAGTTATGACAGATAAAATATTGAAAGTTATGACCCTTTATGGGTTAGGTACCAGAAGGGGTTTGCAGATACATATCATCTTCGCAACAGATCATGGACATCCAAAATTTTGACCATTTGTGGGGGAGGTACCAGAAAGAGTGGACCGATATATCCTATATTCACAGCAGATCTTGTGTTAGTGGCAGTTATAAAATACGTGAAATATGAAGAGAATCGGATGCTTATTTCGGATTTTAAAATCCTTTTGGTTTTACAAAACGTTGAACCTTTGTGGGTGAGGTACCAGAAGGGGCAGATATATATCATCTTTACAACAGATCTTGTGTTTTTATGTGAAATTGAAGAGAGTTGGATGCTTTATTCGCTTTTTTGAGCTTTTTTTTTCAAAATATTTTACACTATGTGGAGAAGCAATGGTCTGATCTCTTCGATTTTTATAACAGATCTTGTGTTGATGGAAATATTGGGATTTACCAAGTCTGAATGGAATGATATTAATTTCGCGTTTTATAAGCTTCGTGGATATTCAAAATTTTTACCTTCTGTGGGGAGGAACCAGAAGGAGTAGACCGATACATCCCATCTTCACATCAGATCTTGTTTTAGTAGAAATAATGGGATGTGTGAAATATGAAGAGAACCGATGCTTATTTCGGATTTTATAATCGTTTTGGTTATCCACAACTTTGACTCCTTGCTAGGGAGGTACCAGGTGGGATGGTCCGATCTCTACCATTTTTGCAACAGTTCTTGTGGTGGTAGAAATATTGAGATGTGGCAAGTTTGAATGGAATTGCATGTTAATATCGCCTTTTATGAGTTTCATAAATATTTGTTGAACTTTTGTGGAGAAGGTAGTGGACCGATATATCTTCGATCCACCTTCACATCAAAACTTGTGTTAGTAGAAATAATGGGATGTGTGAAATATGAAGGGAACGGAATGCTTATTTCCGATTTTATAATCGTTTTGGTCATTCATTACCTCCCCGCCCCCTTTGGGGGGGAAGGAATGATCCGATCTCTACCATCTTCATAACAAATCTTTTGTTGATAGATATATTGAGATGTACCAAGTCAGAATGGAATCTTATATTAATTTCCCGTTTTATGACCTTCGTCGATAAATTTGAACCTTTGTGGGAAAGTACTTCATGGAATGAACCGATATTTTCCATTTTCTCGCATAACCTAGCACTGATGCAAATATTAGGATTTCCTGAGTTGGAGCAAAATCGGGTTATTTTTTCTTTTTCTGTGCAGTAAAATATTTCCTTCGAAGTAGACCGATATTGCTCATCTCCGAACTCGATTTAGGTTTGATAATAATTTTATTATGTACCAAAATTGGACTAAATCGAGCCAGACAGATAGAGGGACGGACATCTCTAGATCGAATCCAAATGTCCTGAAAAAGATTTGGTGCAAAGAGACGTAAGGTCTAAGTCTGTTATTTTGATGATATATCAAATGATATATAACCTCTCTAGCCAAATGGCTGAGGGTAATAAAAATTATCTTACAGGTATTGTCTATCTTCAAACTCGAGACAAGTTTGATAACAATTGTACGATATGCATGTCTTTCAACCATTCAAAATTTTTACCCTATTTAAATGTGAAACCACACAGAAAGATCCGTCGAAAATCTCCCTTCAACATTGATCTATGTTTGATTTGAGTAATTTCTTTACACAAAATTGTGATCGATTTACCCGGAGTTTAGACATAAATGTAACTTACTGCAGGTTGCTTATAGGCAAGGACGTACCCACAGGTCCATTTCAAAACCATTTCAGTTGGCACATGCCCAAGAAGAAGAATTAGTTGCTCTATGCAAAATCCACAAAAATGGCAGAAAAATAAGAAATTGTAAAGGTGGCCGTATCCGAGAAAATGTGTTGCCAGTTGGGTGGAAAGTTAGTTTTCAAGTGAGCATGTTTCAATGTATTGCCATTTTTTGAGCTGTCACTTGCATGTGTTAACCCTGTGTTGCGTACTTTCTTTCAGAGTTAAGGCATCTTATCTTATCGATGCCTTATCTTATCGTCTGCATTTTCGTAAAAAGCATAGGATTTTAGGGAGACCGAAATTGAACTAAATCAACCTTAACTCCTTTGTTTTTTAAGAAAAAGCCAATCGATGACTTATTTCAGAAAAATCGTATATATTCTGACATTTGAGCTTGAAATTCTGAATTTAAATTTTTTTGAGTTCCACTTCATTTCGATGAAGCATAAATAGAGGCCATCCTATCACCGAAATTGTTAATCTACAAAATTTCCATTTCCAACCCAATATCCATTTCCGCAATGTTATCTAAATCCAAGTGTATATGCAAGTATTACACCAATGTGTTCGCTACAAGTGCCACTGCTACAGCCACAACCACAACCTCGACCACGACCATTGTTGGTTTTTTGTGGCATAAATGGTTAATAAAAAATGCAAAAGCTTTATATGTTTATTTCCATTTCATTTGTGAAACAGGAATTAGCCCAACACAGAGACATGGATAAAAGCCACCAGCCGAGAGAGCATGGGAGTTGAGATGACCCATAGATAGGCGGCTATGACAATAATGGAAGTGTCAGAATATAAAATACTCCGACATGTGTTGTAAGCATTACGATATGGAGTTTTCGTTTTTAGATAAATGACACAGATGCTTTTGAATATTGGAGTGAAAATGGATTTTTGTTCAATGTTTAACACTTATACATTTTTCTTTTTCTTTTATCTGGTTTTTAAGTAAATCTTTAATCGTTTTTTAAGTTTTTTTATTCCTTTGGGACAATACAGTTTTTGTGGAAGTAGTTGTGGTGTTAATGTTGCTGGTGGCCA